TGATTAGAAAAGCCGCCCCAGTCCTTTCTCTTTCCAAAGAGAGCAGCGCCCTCTGTGGGTTTCCAGATGCAATTACAGGGCTGCTCCCGAGAACAGGCAAAATCCCTTCCTTACGTGTGAATTCAGAAATTGGGGTCCTCTCACTCTTCAGTGTGAAGGTGGAGCACTGGGTCCATAGCATCTTGGAGGCCACAGACTTGAGCTAGCAGAGGAAGGACTGCATGACATGTTTCAGGGACCCCAGTGTGTAAGCACCCTTTGCCATTGCCATTCTACTGTCAGGACCCCTGCTGTCCCCTCATGCCCTCTCCTTTACAGGCTCCGCAGGGGTACCCAGGTTCTTGGTCTCCAGCTGACAGCTGGCTCTTCTTGCTCCTTTTCAGAAAGTTTCTCTCCTTTTTCATCCGACTTTTGCCTCTGGGCCATTCTCACCCAGGTCTCTGTGAACCACACCCTAGGTTCTGCAGAGCTCCGACTCCGCATTTGCATCTCTGTCTCTCTCCGCCTTCCCTTGCTGTGACACAGTGTACATCAGTGATCACAGCTGCTGGAGGGGCTGAGGCTGAAGGCGAGCTCACGGTTGGCAATGGGGTGACTGTCTCAAAATTAAGAAAGGGGAGGACTAGAAATGTAGATCTGTGGCCCTTGTGCTTGTTGTACGTGAGGCCTTGGGACAACAAAACAAACTGATGGGTTGAAGGTAAATAAGACAGATTAATAGGATGGTGGTAGCCCTTCCCTTGGTGTGTCTGGGGTATTTGGAGGGACACAGGTACATTCTTCTGTAATGAATCTCGACTTCTGGTGTACTCCATGCTGACCCAGCTTCCCTCAGTTTCAGCCTCACTGTCAGTCATACCTGTTTGTCTGTACCGTCATGCTTTTAGAAACATATACATTTCCCTGAAGATTTTAGTTATGAGGACTATTAAAATTTCAAGTATTTTCTCTCAATCATCCTTTGGATTTCCCTGGCCTGTTTTGTCTCTCCATTTCCTCTCTAAGCATATTGTGTCTTCTTTCACTTTTGATTTGACTAAAGTTTGTCAATCTCATTCATCTTCTCCAAAATCCAAGCATTATTACTTTTATTGTATTATCCTTCAGTCGCCAGGTCACTCACTGGATTGTCCCTCCATCTCTAGGTTACTCACTGTAGTATCTCACGGTCTCTAGGTCATCCATTTCTTCCTTGCTTTTTCATTCTGTTCCTTCTCCAGCTAATCTGGGTTCTACTTGCTCTTAGTTTTCGAAAGCTAAGAGGCCACAATTGCACTGTTATTCTCTTGTACTCTGAACTGTTTTCTGTTGTTGTTGCCGGGCCTTGCTATATAGGCCCCATATAACTAGCAATAAAATATAAGAGGCCAAACAAACCCCAAGCAGGAAAAAAGAAAGCCTAGAGACATGGCACTGTGCTACTGTTTTACAACTTTCAGGAGATTATGCTAAAGTAACAAATCCGAACCTCAGGTTTGCAACCATCAAGCTGTTTCTTCTTTCTCATTCCCTGACCTACCTTATTCTTTCTCTGTGGCAGACAGGAGACAAAGGTTGAACCATGCCGGGACTGAGGTGTGGCTGACATCTAGTCAGATTGAAGGTGGTGGGGAAATGATTACCCCACTCTAAAAGGAGATAAGCACAGCAAGGTCTGTAGTGGCAGAATGAAACAACACATCCATCTACCACACAGTGTGCAATGGCAGCGGAAGATGCATGTCTTCGCTGGCTGTCCACTCACCTGCACCACATGACAACCTGAAAGCCTTGTCCCACGACTGCACTGGGTGTCCTATCCAGATCTCATCATCCATGCCACAGACTTATGAATTTAAAAAGAGAAATGAAGTGCCTTGGCCACTCCTGACATACAGACGTAGAAGAATGGGAACAGAGCGGGGACACAGTAAGCACTCCTTGTTTAACAGCAGACTCCATCTGACAGGGGGACAGATGTCTTCCTCCTGTAGCAAGGAAAACACCTGAAAAACCTTTCCTCTGTGTCTGTGTGTCTGTGTTGGGGGGACCAACAGTGGCCAGAGGGGATGCTGTCTCCCTAGAGCTGGAGTTAACAGGCAGCTGTCTAGCCATCTCTCCAGCCCCATCAACTGGAAAATGACGGACCAAGACCGCACAATCAAACACACTGCTCTGCATGCTGACCTAAATATTAATTTTAAAAATTTAACACTTCGAAAGAACAAATACCCAACTAAAGATGTCCCAGACTAAAGTGGGGGCACTGCACAGAAGCATGTGGCTCAAGACTAGACGGTCGGTTCCCGCACCTGTTGTCCTCACATTGCTGCCAGGGTGCGTGCTTTAGATGGACTTATTTCAAGTCACCTCTAACCCTTCGAATTTTGGTGATGTCGCTGGAAGGTGACGATCCAAGAGGACAGAGATGCAGAATGTCCATCTGGGCATCAGTCCTACAATGCCAGACACATGGTGCCAGACAAGGCTGCCACAAAGTGACTTCAAGTGTACTCCCTTGTGGGCAGCTTGGGTTGTTTATTCAAGTGTTCTCATGCCCTGGACAATAAGCTCATCGTGGTGTACTTAATGCAAGTACTAAGTGTAACTAACCTATTCAACAGCTGAGAAATGGTTACATTAGGCATGGCCTTTGAATAAAACGGCACGTAGTTCAAGACAGAGTTAAATCAGTTTTAATGACTTTCAATACAGACTTACAGATGGATGCATGCACACACGGGGTTTTGAAAGGGGGAAGACATTAAAAAAAAACAAAACAAAGCAAAAACCTACAGTTGGCAGAGGGTTTGCCTGGCATTCATGAAGGCCTGGATTTAAACAAGAAACAGGCTAGGGAGCTGGTGAGATGGTCCAGTGGGTAGAGTCACTTGCTGTAAAAGCCTGCTGATCTGAGTCAATTCCTGAAACCACAGGAAACTGGGAAAACGGACTCCACAGTGATCTCTGCACGTGAGCCATGACACGCACGCACGATCATGATGCACAAACGTGCATATGGTAACGTTAAAAACTGCTTAAAAGGACTAACACATACACATCATAAAATCAAAAAATACTGTTCCCATCCTTTAGTTTAGAGTTCAATCATTTCTAGCAGCAGGTAATAACAAGCCCAACCTCTACGAAGCTCTACATGTACCCACATACACAAAGCAGCACAAATTATAGTCACTGCAGGTAAAGGCTCTGCCAGCGTGGCAACTGAATGAGCCCTCACAGCTTTCCCCGAGAAGCACTGCTTTCTTGGCAGCAGGGCTTTTGACCCCAGTTATGAGGACAGACAGCCTCTGGCCAGGTCTGGACTGAACACTGAGATCACAGCTCTTTCTCTGTGGTCTGGAGCTGACTTACAGCCATTATAAACTTTTATTTCTCAAGCATCAGAGAATGGAAGACAAAGCACCCAGCCCTGAGCTGACAATATGTCCTGTAAATATCGTAGAGAAATGTCTGACGTTTCCCAACTTCCAATCAGTAAGGGTTGTTGAAAATTCTCACCTGGGCCCAAGGCGCTAACATGAGTATAACCAGATGCTCTTCTTCCCACTGGGGTACGAAGGCTGCGACAGTGGTACTGCTCATGTAGAATGTGAGTCATTGAGGAAGAGCCAGCAGCACCTGCTTGCCATATGAACCGCTACTCCTTTCTTGACTCCATGCTTAGAGCCCAGCTTGACTGGCTTCTTAGGAGCTGGCAAACTATACCTTAGAACCAAAATCTGGTTTAAAAAAATTTTTTTAAGATTTACTTTTTGTGCATGAATATCTTGTCTGAATGTCTGTACTTGTGCCATGTATGTGCCTGGTGCCGATGGAGGTCAGAGGAGGATGTTGGATCCTCCGGAAGTAGAATTACAGATGGTTGTAAGCTGGTAAGTGGGTGCTGGGACTGAACCTGTGTCCTCTGCAAGAGCAGCAAGAACTCTTAACTGTGGGGACATCCCTCAACCTCCCAACACCTTTGACAAGGACATTTTGAACAGTATCTGTGGGACATGAGAGCACAGTTGCACGCACGAACTCACAAAGCCTGGGGCAGCAAGCACAGGACTTGCACAAGGTCAAGCCAGCCGAGACCCCAGCATGGGTGGGAGGGGCCCACGAGTCCCACTTATGAAGAGCTACTGGGCAGAGGATGGCTGCCGGGAAAGGGAATCGGTTTCCTTCAGGGATGTGGGTCCTCAGAGGCCGCCCATGCTCCAGAAGACGTTCCCACATGCAAGTACGTGGAAGCAGCACTGAGAAACCCTGTGAGTACTAAATTAATAATAACTTTAAAAAGAGAACACATGAAGTCGGGAGGGAAAGGGACTGGGAAGGTGGATAACATCCAAACACAGTTATGCATGTGTACAAACATTTAATATTTAATACGAATAAAGTTTTATTGAAACACTATGTTCACTCATTTAAAAATTGTCTATATAGCTGCTTCTGACTACAACAAGGGGGCAGCACTGCCACCCTGGAGAGAAGCATAAAAGACAAGAAGAGAACTACTGTCTCAAACCCTTCAGTGGGACACAATTTTGCCAATTTAATGAGCTGTGGGTGGGAGTGTCTTCTCTCTACAGAATATCAAGCAAGTCAGTTGTAGGGTGTGGGTGGCCCCTCCCCTACAGTGCAGGAAGCCCCAGCATGCTAGCAGGCTGGGTGGATAACCAGTGCTCCATCCTGAGCAGAGGTTTTACAGATCTGAGTCTGAGAACCATGTTGCCTAGGATGTGAGGAGCATGAGAACCCTTCTGAGCAGTTCCCACAGCTTTGTGTCCAGAAACTTCTCTCTCATTAGGCTTAAGAACAATCAGTGACTCCCAGAACAGAAACCCTCCTGTAACATACAGGAGGGGTGTCCACGTCCTCCTCAGTTACTCATGTCCTAGCAGTCAGCATTTAGCTGGCCCGACAGCCCTCATGACATTTACCCTCCTGAACTGAAACATGGATGCTTAACCATCTTGAAGTGATTTTAACTGAACAAGAAGCACAATGAAAACTATTATATAGGAAATAAACTTTATTTATCTGATCCTCTGAGATGACATGGCCAACAGTCACAGAGCTGCAGACAATAGGATTATGTACTATTTACAATTTACAGTAGTATTTTTTCCTCTGAAAAATAATATAAGTACAAAAGCTAGGTAAACATGAGGTACTGCCATTTGGGATTTATCATAGCATAAAGAATTAGGCTTTAGCAAATATTCAAAAAATCAATCTGTGAAACAGTCAATTAAATTCTCTAATTTATCAGAAAAAATTCACTTAAGTTTCACCTCAAAATGTATTGCACAAGTCTTTAAGAAGAAAAAGAAACCACCCTAAAATAAATAAGGAAGATGGACAGTTCTTTAAAGAGTGGGAGAACACAAGAGACACTGAACAGCCAGCCAGGTGGGGCCAATCAGAATAGCCTTTAAACCACAGAAAACTTCCCAAGAAAAAAAACTGAATAAAAAAGAACAAAACTATCACCATTTCTCCACCAAGAATGTCTGCTTCAAAAGCAATGTATCTGTGGCCAGGGTAACATCTGTCTTCAAGCTACACAAATGGCCCGTAATGACAGCGCCATTCTCCAAGACCACCACTCGGGCACAGCTTCCTGGGCAGCGGCTGCCCAGACTCATGCTCCCCATTTCTTCAAGATGAGGTTCGGAGCCATGACTGAAAGGAAAAAGGGAAACTAAGGTGAAATAAGAAAAACAAGCAAGCAAGTTCCCACAGACAACTTGTGTGAGATTTGTTTTGTTTCTTCAAGATAAATAAATTAATACTCTAGGAATGACAGTAAAAAAAAAGTAAACATTTCAAAAACTGATTCCAATTGGAATATTCTAGAAACTACTGTTAGAATGATTGAAACTGATTGATAGCAATCCCAGAAGACAGTGCTGCTGAGCCCTGACAAGAGCCATGGCACAGACTGTGCTGTGTGGGCACTCTCACCAAGCGCAGCTCTTCAGACAGGGCTCACAGGGAAGGTGGTGGTCCCACCTTCCCAGGGTGTGGATTTGCTATATCCTGCAATGCTCTCAGCAAGACAAATGCACTGTGGTGTAAAGGGTTAAGCTTCACCGGAACTTCGTGAAAACGTAAAACACGTGCTGAGACAAACCCAGACTTTTCCTAACAGTTTCCTGGATTAAACTGCTAAATGCTCGGGCTCAGATCTGACTAGTTTAAGATCTTAGAGAAGTAACTGTCCACGTAAGTGTAAGTAACAGACAGAAACTGTCCATTTACACTCAGTAGAGGGAAATGTCAAGGTATTCTGAGTATTTATTTACAAAGCTAGCTCAACAACCACGCTGGCCCTGGGAACCTAACGGAGAGATGGGGGGAAAAAAACCTTCCAATGAGGTTGCTCCTTTTCAACTATTATTTTGAAACTTTGGCTTGAATGCACTTAGGAAACAAAAGTCAGCTCAACAAAGCAGCACAAACCAGTGCTGAGAGCATGACCACTCAACGGAGTGTGCTCTCTGTGGGGTCTGAGGTCTAATTACTTATGAAAGGTCTCATTTGAAAAATGGGAAAATTGAACATTATGTATAGTATCAGATAATATTAAGTTTACTGAGTATGGTAATCCCCATGTTAAGATGCATTTATCCACTTATGTCTGCACAGTCAATTGCTTGTTGTAAGCACGATGCTTACAGGTATCTGTAAAATGTTACAAAATGGGGAGATACATGGAGAGAAACCAAGAGTGAGAACAGGGAGAGGTTTTCACAAAATGTAAGTGATGGCAGATGTGGGCATTCACTCAGGGTTTTTTTTTTGCAAAGCTTAGGTTTCAAACCAGGAGTCGAATGGACAAGCACTCAATCAACAGAGATGCTGAGGCCCACATTCCCAGTATGAAGGGACCAGCTCTGCAGCCCCGCCAGTGTGGAAAGCACTCACGGGCTCTGCAGCACGGCCAGTGTGGAAAGCACTCACTGGCCTTACTGCTTGTCAGCTCTCATCTGCTTACTATTAAAGCAAACTAATGAAACCATGCTCTGCACTGCCAGTCTCCGGAAAGGAGACAGGAACAACTCAGCTCTAGATAACCTTGTAAGCAAATTAAATAAGATGTGGAAATCAAAAGGAGACTCAATGCAGGGATTTTTTAAAGAAGGCAAACAAAATTTAAAAAAACAAAAACAAAACAAAAAAAAACCCAAAAACAGGCACTGGAGAGATGGTCTACCGCTTAAGAGCACTGGCCGCTCTTGCAGAGAGAGGATCTGAGTTCGGGTCCCAGCACCCACACAGTAGCTCACAACCCCCTGTGACTCCAGTCCTAGGGATCTGACACCTCTTCTGCCTCTGTGGTACACATACATACAGACAAACATAGACACATAAAATAAGTAAATCTTTTTAAAATAAAATAAACATTTTTAAAAGCTTCTGTAAAAGATCCATCCCAGCCTTGCCATTCTTCATCCTGCTCTGTTTGTTCACAAACCATTGTTATCATCAAATACAGTCAGATGTCAGTCACTGAGATTCAACTTGTGATTCGTGACAATTACAGGAAGTTTAAGGTACACATGTACCCTAAGTGTTTAAGACGATATTAAATCAAGCTAATGACGATGACTACTGTGTGAGGCTGGGAACCCTTAAATGTTGAGGACCAGTAAATGGTGGGAAACATTTTAGACAATTACATTTCACTATAATAGAATGTTCATCAGAGACGGCCATATTCAATCAAACTAGGCTGCTAAGCAGCAGCCACAGAGCATACACGCAGTGAGCTGTGTGATCATGGGATGTAATAAAACTGCATTTATTTTTAAGCAACTTTATTGGTTTTATTTTTTTTAACCTAGTGGTCTCACTAGGCTTTGCAGTAACTTGGGCTCTCTTCACTTGAGTCTGAAGCACAGCACAGCACAGCGCTGCACGTCCTCCCTTGCATCCACCAGTATCCTAAATCTCTACATCGTAATCTGCAGCCATTCTTGGTGGCTGTTAGTCTATGTATCAGTGTATTTCACAGAATCAACAGAAAGCAACTACTTTAACCCAATGTCATAATCATGTCCATTAAAAAGAACAAACTAATCCCAGCAAAATGATTGACGGCATACAATATGCGTGATCTCTGTACCAAAGACACAGACACGGCTGTCCACTCACCACATGCACGCTAAGCACAGACTGACGGTCATCAGAAGATGCCACTGCGAGGTGAGGTGAACTACAAAGCCAAGAGGAAAAGCTTAGTGGGTTAGTTTTCAGACAAATGGTGCAGAGGTTACACTGTGCATATGAAGGACAGAATTACAGACGGTACCAAAGTCATTTCAAATTCAGGGTCATCGGGCACAGCATAAGGAATATGTAATACTTCCCCCATCCTAGATATTTACTTTCAATTTTCATTTAAATGTTTAAATGCTGAAAGATGCACTTCATGCTAAGGGTGCATTTAACTGCCAAGTAAATTAGAGGGGTTTATATTATGAAGTGATTTTTGTTATAATTTCATTGCCAATTACATTAAAATTTGATTTCCATAATTTCAGCTTACCCCTAAGAATTTTTAGAAGTCGATGAATTTGAAATTCATATAAACAATACACCTGTATGTTGAATTCTCATTCCTAAAAGGTGTCAATTTTATCACTGAATAATTCCCTCATAATTCAACAGACTGTCAAGAGGAACGGCAGGAATGATGCAGCATGCTGCAGTTCTAATGAAAAGGAACGTGATGTCAGTTTGTTTTACTGCAGCAAACTTCTTAAATAAATCCCACACCCTCATTTCAAAAGGCCACCATCCACCATCATTTACTCATGTCATGGTTTGCTTTGAAATGGCAGTATGACAACAAAGGCTGTTAACCAGAGCTGAGCTTATTTCTGGATGGTGTGACAAGCCTCTGAACTGTATGTGTGTCTATGTGTATGTGTATATACACACACAAGTTAGTAAAATGGAGCAAAATGAAAACAAACTAGAAAAATGTCTTTCAATACACACAGCATAGTAAGGTTAGTATTTTGCAAGAAAGTCTGCAGAAGCACACAAGACATAGGAGTGTGGCTATCCCGTGTCTTCTTTGAAGGTAAAAAACCATGGAGAGAATTGAATAAAGAGGAATCTAGTGGAGCTAGTCAATGTTTTATATTGAGAGAGTCTCCCACTTTGTGACCCACAACAACTCTGAACTGGGATTCTTCTGCTTCACCCTCTTAAGTGCTCGGATTATAGGCATGTTCCCCGGCTTGCCACACTATTAACAGTGATGACCTTGGCAGGGGGCGAAGTCTCATGTTGAAGATTATAAAAAATTTTCTAAGTAATTTTTTGAATTGTTTGTAACATTTTAGAAAGAGATCTGTCATGTCTTATTTTAACAATGTCAGCCAAACCACTTTCCCAATGAAAAACATATTTACATATGCATTGTTTTTTCATGAAGCATCACTCGTATTTGCATTTGTTTTCCAAATCCACCCAGCATGCATCTTATCACATGCCAGGAACTGATCAGCTTCATGGTGGGTGGAAGCATCTAAAATGCCACGAAGTTCTGATGATTCATTAACTTAGGGAAGACAAGTGAGACAACAAACCCAGCACGGTTGGTCAAGGACTAAGACATGTGAGGCTGGGGACGGAGCTCGGTGGCCAGGGCTCCAGCATGCATAAGGCTCTGGGTTTCAGTCTCCAGCACCACAAAGCACAGGAGCAACAGACAACATGGAGGACAAGTGTGAAAGCCGAGCCCAGTGAGCAATGAACGGTTTGAAGCAAGGAAATCAAACCTGCAGACCCAGGGGAGGAAGCTCTGCCCGGGCAGTCGCCAGGGAACAGACATGTGGGTTTATGTTTCTGTGTCTGTAGCACTTCAATGAGAAAGTGTGATTTTAGGAAAAATTAAGAACAGGCTTCTCTGTAACAAAAGACTTTCTTGATTCCAATTTCAGCCAATTACAATATACTTTATAAATGAAATTCTCTTAAAGATACAGGAAAGAATCCTGAGTCACTATACAAATATCAAGACTCTCTTCAGACTGATAAAAAGATCAATCAATTTGAAGAATTTTCAACTTACAGGATCTATCCCACTTCATGTCCATACAGTGCTTCACACTTCCTACACATCTATTTTATCATTTGAATGGTCTGCCAGGCCTATCTGTCACTCACATATGATTAAACAGAAGTTACCATTTGTCCCTAAAAGTAAAGCTTCCTATTTCTCTGTAACAATACAGGAGCAGACGGCTGCAGACTGAATTTATTCAGCAAGCAAAGGGTCATGACATATGAGGCTTTGTTTAAAACCTGTGCAGGTCAGTCTCAGGGGCAAAGGAGGATCAACTCAAACCAGCACCCACTTCATCCCTTCCTAGGATGAATGCTACTTAACTCAAGCTCTGGAAGCCCACCCCACATGTGTGGCATCAACTGTCCACCCTACTAAGAACTCTTTCCCTGAGAGTCCCCATCAAATCTGCCTGGGATTAAACTTTCTTAATGTCCATCCACTGCCACTGCTTAGTTGTGGTGCAAAGACATTAAAAAACTTTCAATTTATTTTACAAACAAAGAATAAGGCTCTACAAAAGAGGCAGAATATAAACTGTAAGAAAGCTGCCTCCCTACAGCTGACTTCAGGAACTTACCATCAGACGAGCATCTTCTCTTTCCAAAATTTTCTGAGCCTGATCATCAGGGAATTTCAGGACAGTGGTTATAACTTTGGCCATGGTCTGGAAGCAACAGGAGAAAGATCATTGGCATAGGACAAGGCAAACAAGTCTCACAGTGTTCTGACATGTTCTGGAAGATTCCTTAGTGCTCTCAATGGAAGCCACAAACAAAGAAGTATGATGTGAAAGTGTCAGTCAAGGAAGTAAAGACCAGCACTAGCGTCTCAATTTAAGAGGGCTCCTTACAAAGTCTACTCTTGAATTACTTCAGATAACGTATTTCCAATAGCATAAAGCTGAATAAAGATCTAGCTGTTGATCTTTTGTCTCATTAAAATAAAACTTCATCACGAATTCATCTGAAAGGGCCTCATATTTGCAGTAACCTATAGGATACATTGGCAAAGCAGATGCTCTAAGTGACCAGGATTAGAGGCTCTAACTAAATCACATCATATGTCTCAGAGACATGGGCTACTAAGTGGACATGAACATGCTCAGTAGTTGCTTTTCAAGACATGCAGCACGTCACCCTAAGAGAAATTACATATTAAAGGAACACAGATGTTTTGTTTGGTAGAACACATGATGAATCAAAACATTACACATGGGAGTTTGCAAAACAAGATCATAAACTGTGCAGATCAGAATAAATATACCGTAAGTCAGACTGTCACCCCAAAAGCTCCTGGAAAATTCTCCTCAAAGGTTGAAAACTCCCTATTGTGTATCAAGATGAGATGTTGTTAGGAAGACAGAGAGGAGAGAAGATGTCACTTATGAAATGAGAATGACAATGAGTTCAGTGCTTACATCTCAGGTCAGGTGGTACTCTCTCCTGGGGACTCCTACAGTGCATGGTAGAGCATCCCAGAAGAGGGAACCAGTGCCCATGGCTACATGAACTCTGTATGTAGGCCTGTGTGTTTGGTGGCAGCAGTGGGGTTCTGGGAAAAGTTGTAGGAAAAAAATCAGCACAATATTATCAACCCAAAATTTCGGAACTATATTCGTATCACTAGAAAAAAATTCATCATTAACAAAAAGGGAAGAAACTAACATTTTTAAATTCCTATTACCTGTAGAGAGTTGAGGTAGGACAGAGCATATTCCTAATAACAGCTCAACCAATTCAACTGAGGCTATTTTCAGCTGCAAACCCCACATACAATGACTTTAGTTTCAGACATCTATCTTGTCTTTGGCTTTGCCATTTTAATAGCTTAAAACAACCACATTCTTGGAGGACCCCAGAGGTATTGACAACACCTCACTTAAGTTATATTAACTAGACAGAACACAAGCTAGTGTGTTAAACTTGAGTACAGAGATCAGGTATATGTGTCATGAACTGGCAAAAAGAAATAAGAAGTAAAAACTATTTCAGTACTTTCTTTTTACACAGAGAGGACTTCTTGTGTATTAATAATAAAGATTCCCCTCCCCTCCAGGTTACCAAAAATCTAAAATTCAAAGGTTCACTTATATGAAACACTTCCTTAATTTCAGTATCATACATATCAAAGCTTTCATCCTGAAACCACATATGCATGTTCAAACATGTTTATAAAAACATGTTTATAAAAACAGAGCTATAAACTGTGACTAGCTGTCTCTTCCCACTTGTAGACAACACTAAATGGAAAATCTATCCCTAAGTTCGTCAGCGACCCAGAATCCATAGCTGACAACCAATAAGGCCTCCAGCTTGCCAGAACCCAGGCTCTTTACACCTTGGAAAGAAATCAGACTGTCTACTCTCCAAACCACATCCTCAGGCCCGAGTTAGCTAGTCAGGAAAAGTTCAAATGAGCCACCTGATTTATAAGCAGGCTCTTCAGCTGGTGTTTCCTCAGGGGATGCCTCTTCAATGACTCTTACAGAGCAAAAAGGCAGGCAGACTGGATTTCCATGTCAATGAGAGAGTACAGGACCAAAGCCCGTGAAGAGGAAGAAAGCGGGGCTGAAGTAGCACCACATGGTAGGAGCATGCGCACAGAATGCAGCATTCTCCAAGCACCTGCCTCATAACGGATGCTGCAGTAGAAGCAGGTGAAGAGAAGCAGGTAGGATGACACGGAGAGACTGCCAATGCAGGTGGGCAGCACATCACCAAGTCCTCCACAGGCTGCTCGCCACTTCTGAGTTCTTTGTTAAAGCAAACCACAACAGATGCATCTAAAACCAGCTCTATTCTTGTTGGAAATTTCAGAACTATCTTCTCTGTGAGACATACACACAGGTAAAATTCTGGAAGTACTTCAGATCCTCTAGCCTTCAAGACGGTCTGGTCCTAGCTAGGAACACTTGTACCTCACAGATACAGTGCTCAGCTGGGCCAGACTACTTGGCACTCGGGAACTCACGTGGTTTTGTTGGGCCTTCACTCTGAGCTGCTGCCCATCCTGCATGAGTGCTGAGTACTCAGTATCAAAACCTACTTCTCGCCTTGCTTAGAGCCCAGTCTGTCTTGACCCTCCACAAGTGAAGCACTTAAGTCCTTATCCTGCACTCTGCTCCACAGCCTGCTTAACTAAGGACTAGGCACTGTTCAGTTCTAGAGTCAGCAGTGGTAGTGGCTTCCACATCACTATCTACCGTGGCAGTCCATACAGCAAGGAACGGACAGTAGATTAAACACTCGTTTCAGTGTTTACATGTGAAATGTGATGAAGACTCATAGACTGTTCATCCTTAGCCAGAAAATCACAACAAACGCAGACAAAGGTGGATGAAGAGCTATGTTGCTGAGGCAGTGGTGCAGTCTTCTAAGCTGTAACCTGAAGTGAACGAAGGCTCACAAAAGACAAGTTACATTAGGCTTGGGCTGTTGTGTCTCTCTTCCAGAGGCTCAAACTTGGAAAGCACATTTCACAAGCATTACACTTCCCAGGAGCAACAGGCAGCAGCTGACATGCTAGACTCAGGAAGGCTACAATCTGTTAGCCACAACCCTTGAACCACAGCATTAGGGTCGACAGTGTCTACAGTCCTGGGAGCAGACTCACAGCTCAGCCTTCTTCTACCTACTGCACATGCACAAAATGTCACCCATCCACCAAGCTGCAAGTCCAGGCTGCTGCTTTAGCCCCCGTGAGAACGCAGGATGAGAAAAGAGTTGTTCAGCACCTTTGCTTCCCAAGAAAAGATGAACCAAGAAAAGGCACTGGACCACAATGAACAAGCATATCCCTTTCTGTAACACAACTCAAGATCTTATTACTTAAACATAATTTTTACTTGAAAGGGCCTTATGGCCAGACATGGTGGTATATGCCTATAATCCCAGCTCCTGGCAAGCAAAGCACGTCAGCAAGACGTTGCCCCAAAAGTCCAAAACCAAAGCCAATGGGGTGGGGGGAAATACCTCCCTAAACTTGTTTGATGTAAATAAAACTTAATTTCTATATATACTAAGATATATACTAAAACCTCAAATGACCTCTGGCTCCTGGTGCTTCTCTGTGCGTCCTACAAAGCTATAATACTATCTTTAGGTCTTCATCTATGCCTTTGCTCTCTTTGGTTTTATATATATTTTCCAAATCACTGTCTGAACTGGACTAGCATCTCTATAACTCACAGACAGGTCATTATCCCATTCACAGTCATGACACAGACAATGTAACTCCCATGAGGAGTCTACAAGTGTCAAAAGCAGAAACTGACTGCAGTGAAAACTCTTCCTGATAAAAAGTTCATGAAATTCCCTAACTACATTCAATTCCATTCAAGATACATTTACCAAATGTCTAATTTAAGGTTTAAAATAAACAACAATCAAACTATAGAAGATATATATAGTAAGGCTCTGTATCAAGAGCCTTATGTAGGAGCTATGTTCTAGAGAACAAATTGACTAACAGTTCCTACTTGCATAGCATAGTAATTTAAACATGATCAATAACCAGTGTATGTAGAAACAACTTCTAACAGATTAAATTATCTCTGGATGTTCCTTAGCAGTCACTGTCAGAGACAGAATAGTGATTCACAGTGCTATCTACAGGGTCCTAAAACCTCCTTAAAATACAATTGCTTCTCCTACTTTTAAGATTTGAAATCACACACTCACACACATACACACTCACACACATACACTAACACACGTACACACACACATGTACACACACAGACACACACACACACACACAGAGTTCATTTTTGTGAACACTGTCTGCCCATACAATCTCCTGTGCACATACTATCAATGAGTGTGTAAAAAGGGGTCTCATAAAAGTCACGAGGCAGGAGCTGTACCTTGGTCTCCCGACCCATCATATACTCAAACAGCACTTTTCGCAAATATTCAAACTCAGTAGGTTCTCCGAAGAGTGAGACCTCAGTGTGGTACAAATTGCCACCTGTCAAAAAAGACAAAAATCAAATTACAAAAGGAAACCCAAATAACTAATCACTCAGTAAACAGACACATCAGGAAACAAGGGAACAGAAAGAGGTTTGTGTCCCTCAGCTCCTGTGAGGGACACATGCTCACACTAGGAATATCCCAACTACTATAGTAGAAGCAAAAATTAGAACTCTTGTAAAATTTCTGTTTCCCATATGCATTCTTCTCCTACAAGAGCACATAACCAGCATACAGCTCCTTAACTTTGGTATTTCTCTACTCAATAGTACATGAGTGAGCTCAGATATGCCAGTGACTAACATGACCATCTTCATGTTACCATACATGAGTGAGCTCAGATATGCCAGTGACTAACATGACCGTCTTCATGTTATCATACATGAGTGAGCTCAGATATGCCAGTGACTAACATGACCATTTTCATGTTATCAAGGATTTAAGATATTTTTAGTTTCTTTTTAAGAATGCCAATATTAAAGTTCTTAGTTTCAATCAAATTTTCAAAAATGCTTTGAAACACAAATAAGAAACCTGAAGTGTGTAAAGTATTAGTGTCATAGTGATTTTTCCAAAACTTTTATATCAACTGGGCCCAGTGGTACAGCCTGAAATCCCAGCTACTTGAGAGCTCAAGTAGACTGTTAAGTATATGAAAGGGAGGAACAGAAAGAGGAGTAAGACAGAAGAGTAATGGCCATGGATATGCTACAAGTATATTGTATGCATACATGGAAATGTCCTGAAAGCTCATTAATTTGTAGAACTAATATAGGCTAATAAAAAAAAATAAGGCAAATAAGTAGGGTATTTAATGCCTTATGGAAAAGAAAATGGCCACTTAACGTTAGAGGACACGGAAGACCTAAGGCACACCACCAAGGAAGAAGTACATGCTGCTAAACTAATGAGGGACACAACAGTCCCTGGTGACGCTCAGCCTACTGCTAAGACTAGGAACACAGTCAGCACGTGCAGACCAGCTGAGCCATGACAGCAGGGGAGAGGCCACTGGGTGCCCAGGGCCAGACAGCATGGATAAATGCAGAAACATCTAGGTGGATAAATGCAGAAACATCTAGGTGTACCTAGTATACTATCTCACATGTTGGGGCATGTCAGCTCTAGTCTCAGTCCTATATTTTATCGAACACCTTTCACATGTGGACTATGGAAAGCATGTACGAGCATGTACAGACTAATGGAATAAAATAAACAACCTAGATGACTCACACATTAAACAAAAGAAATGGATCATGTAAATTCCCTAATTTGGCAAATCTAAATACAATGTTGCCAGAAACTTTATAGATAGATGTTAAATAAGAGGGCAGAAGAGGGAGTATCACAGCGTCAGAGGGATTCAGCACCATCAAGGTGCTAACTATAGTATTACACAAGTACACCTAGGAGCTTAATGGAAGGGGTGATGCTTTACCTCTCCCTACAGGAGGTGGGCATTTGAATGTGACTACGGGAGGTGGGCACTCGAATGTTACTCCTTAAAGCAGCACATGGAGGAGAGATGTGTGCACAGCCCATTAGACTTCTTGGATTCCTTTCATCATTTAAATGTGCTGATACATGCAGTGTGTGACAACAAAGTCTGGCAATGGAACTTAGCATCATGCGTCAGGGACAAAAGGCTAAAGACACCACATGAAACAAAGCACACCAGACATGGAATGACAAGTGCTGGAGGGTCTCGCCTCCACATGAAACCTACACAGGCTGAGGGAAGAACAGGATGAGACGGAAGCTGCCATGGGCTGGGAGGGCAGGCAGAGTAGAGGTGTTCATTGTTGAAAGGAGGCAAATTTCAGCATCACAGTAGAAATTCCTCCAAGACAGATGGCTATTACACTGGGGACAGTGTTGTGTTAACTTACTGAAAGTCGGCAGGACTAGGTCTAAAGCATTTCCGCCATGTGCTTGGCTGGATGAGAACAGAACACAGACTCGTGTACTTGAACCTTTGGTCCCCAGTTCTAGAACTTGTTTTGGGAAAGAGTAGGTGTGGCCTCGTTGGAGGTGGTATGACACTGTGGAGTGGACTTTGAAATTTCAAACACCAAAGCAAGCCCAGTGTCTCTCTCTGCCTGCTGTCTGTGGATCAGGGTCTAAGTTCTCAGCTACTTCCATTACTACCTATGCCTGCCTACTTGTTCCCCTCTTCCCAGACATACTCATCAT